TTTTGCAGAATAACGTTTCACCGTGTACGCGACGTACAGATTTGACGTGGAACGTCACGCGTGTTTTCGATTTATATGACACAACTTGGACAGATGTTGTGACACAACTCTCATGTTTTTGAAGGTTTTCAATCAACGGAATATTTTGCACATCGTTGACTATTCCTATATGAAATAACAGAGAACTGGATTTTGTATTAAAAGTCCAATGAAGACAAAGAGCAACGAACGAATAAAGGATATCGATGTGGGGAGAGCTTATTAGCAACTTTTGCATTTCTCAGGTTGCAGAAATGAATTTAATTTAAGAAATGTTTCATTTAAATCGACATATCGAATTTCAATTCTTCCGCACCCCCCCCCCCTAAATAATTTGTTTATCCAATTGAAAATGAAATATAATTCGTGTATTCGTTTCGAGTTAGGTTCAGGAGAGAATAGCAGGGTTAAGTATTTTCTGGAGTCTCCCTTGCTTTCTTTCATACCGGAAGGAAAATTCAAGACAAAAATGTATCGTGGCAGGGAATCAATCTGAAATCGAGATTGGATTTTTATAGGATTGCGAAAGTGGCTTAAGTCGTACAGAAATTCGATAGCTTTACAGAATCCAATCATCTCCTTACTCCCGCGAAAGTATCGTTCTCCAGTGATTATTGAACTTGTGGTTACCAGCTAAGGATAAAGACAAATGTCTGTACGTTGTGTTGGTAATTTTATGTGACAGTCGTTACGTTGTAAAAGAATTAATGTATTTCGTCTCCGTTCTACACATTGAAATCGACAGACTTTGGATAAAATCGGCACAAGTTGGTCGTCCTAATAGAAGGTGGAATTTCTAGCTAATTTGTAAGTTAATTGAATTGTTAATTTTCCTGCACAGCTTCTGCTTTAAAATTTAACACTAAACGTGCCGGCATTTTACATATACCTATTTTACCATATAAGGTATGGAAAGAATTTTTCTCTGTAAAAAATAAGCTAAGAGAAAAACAGAAAACGAGAAAATTGAATAAATCAGATAATATAAGAATTTACAAAAAGTCAGATTAACGAAAGAAATAACAACGAACGTACGAATTTAAAGTAAATTTTGAAAAGGGGTCATTTGACCCGGCTTGGTACGTTCAGTGTTAAAGTCCTTCTCAATCCCTTCTTTATTCTTAGCTCCGTCTTCGTTGCATACATTAAACAGAACGAAATCGCCGATCGACTCGCCAGGATTATCGGATTACCGATACTCGTTTAATTGCAGTCCTTCTGTCCCGCGATATTTCAATACTTTCAATACCTGCTGAAACAGCTGGAAAGTCGATTTCTCTTTCGATCTTTTTACACCGAAATTTGCTCGCGGTGTACGATGTAGTAATCTACGCCGTATCCAAAGAAATATATCGAAGAGGCAATAGCGTGTATTTAAAAGAGACGATTTATAGGACAGAAGGGTTTCGATAGGACTAGAAATCGTTGTAGCCTCGTTTCTAGCCTACTCGGAACATTTTAATGCCAATCTGACGTAGCATCGGCCTAGTTGTCGTGTGGCACACGTTATCCAACGTAATCGCGCTTAGGGGTACACGAAGCCGTGTACTCCCAATGCTACATACATATGTAAGTACGTACGTAGTGTGGCACATTGGTGACTGCACGGTGCTTGCGCTCATTTTCTTACTCTAATCGATATCATTGGCCATTTGAGCGCGCGGTAATCCGTGTCGTAGAAACATATTTGTACATTCATTCACCTTTTCTCCTTTTTTCTCTTTTTTTTTTTTTT